CCGACGTCCGGACAGCGCGCTGCGGGGACCCGGGCTCCTGCGCGATGTTCCCTGCCTGCTTGCTGCTCTTCCTCCTCCATTCGGTGGGAGCCGCCGAGCGCCCCGAGGGCCAGGCCCACGAGCAAAGCCTGGAGGCTGCCCTGGAGACCCCCAACGCCTCGCGCTTCCTCTGGAACAACTACACCTTCTCCCAGTGGCAGAACTTCGTGGGCCGGACGCGCTACGGAGTGGAGTCCCAGAAGCCCAACGTGAAAGCTCTGCTCATCGTGGCTTACTCCTTCATCATCATCTTCTCACTCTTCGGCAACGTCCTGGTCTGTCATGTCATCTTCAACAACCAGCGAATGCACTCAGCCACCAGCCTCTTCCTCGTCAATCTAGCAGTGGCCGACATCATGATCACACTGCTCAACACCCCCTTCACTTTGGTAAGCCCTGCCCCCTGGCCTTCGGTCCTCTCTCAATGCTCCGAAACTTTCCGTTCTGTCACCCCACCCCGTCTGGATGCCACCACCCCCAGTCTCCCATACCTACTGCTCTTCCTCATTTGTTACCTCTGCCAATCGTCCTATCTTAAAGTCTCTGCTCTGTTGTCACTCATCTCTCATTTCAAATCCCTCAGCTCTCTCCTGTTTTTCTTAGTCTGTCTGATGTCTTTTCTTGTCTCCCCTCCCCTCCTCTCCCCCTTTATCTCGGTTTCTTCTTGTAACTCTCTGCAGTCTCTCTCTCTCCTCCCATCCCATACTATGTACCTCATTCCCTCTCTCTCTTCTCTACCCTTCTTTACCGACCTTTCTTTCTAAGCCAGAGCTTCTGCAGCCTGTGGCAATGGGTCAATGATCTGAGAATCATTGCGAGTGACCATCTGCTGTTTAATCCCATTGGATGTGGGCTTCTTCTATGATCAAGCATTGGCTCTGAACTGTTAGCAGACGTTATAAGGGCACCAACCCCACTTAAGTGCAGCTCATGAAAATCCTTTACCCACACATAGGGTGCTACTTTGTGTTACAACTGAAATAGAAGAGTTGCTCATCTTTAATGGAGCCTTTTCCCAGACTGCTTATTTAGGTTGCGTGTCTCTTCTGTGCTTCCACAGTGAGGCAGTGTACGAGGTCTATGCTGGGGAGAAGTGAGAGTGAGGTAGACGTGGGCATCAGAGCTGGGGCAGATCCAGGCACTGCACACTGGTGGTGAGTGGCTTCCTCCCCAGTCCATTACTGGTGCCATTTCTGTCCCTCTGTGACCTGGGAGTGCAGTTCTCCTGGATGAATTGGAACTGTGAGGACTGTGACTGAACAAGTCACTGTTTTCAATTTATCGAATAACTTTATTGTTATTTGAGTTACTACAAAAGCAGATTGTTTATTCTCTCATCTTTGCATCTTTCTGTCTTTCTCTTTCCCCCGTCAACACACACACACACACACACACACACACACACACACACACACACACTCCCCAGGTGGACAGAGGAGGGGGGAAAGAAAATAAAAAGAAGCAGATGAAACAGTCCAACTTCATCTCCCTGCCTATGTGAATGTCCTTCCAAACCTTATATCGTCAAAGGACTTTTACATTCCTACTCTTTTTTGTACCGGGCATCAAACCCAGGACCTTGTGCTTGGAAGTCAGGCAGCAGAATCAGTGAGCTAAATCTCTGGCCCTTACATTCCTACTCTTATTCTCTCTTATGAGAACATTAATCACATTCTGCAGATAAGGAAACTAAGGCACAGAGAGGTTCAACTTCTTGTCTTAGGCTACCTAGTAATAGGCAGAGCCAGGATGAGAACTCTGTCCCCTAACTCAGGTCCAGAGGTCTGTACAGGAGACAGCCATGGGAGTGGAGGACCCTCTGGATCATGTTCAGCTTCCACTGCTCAAGATCATGGATTTTTCCTGCTCTCCTTCCAGCCTACATCTAACCTACTGATGACCACTCTAAATTATCTAGGCACTAACTAAGGAAAAAAGGGCTTCCAAATCACATCCACTCTGCTGCCCTGATGTGTGAGAAAGCAGATCTCTGGCTGTTCTTGGCTCCTTCCTTGATTTCTGACCAGAGAATGGGTGGTGCTGAGGTGGGGCTGTGCCACCCAGGATGGGAACCAGGAGGCCCCCAGGTGTGGCTTGGTGGCTTCTTTCCGGAGCCAGTCTGCAGTATTAGATCTGCCTCAGACACAAGACGGTTCAGGAGGCCTTCAACCCTCAATGAGCTATAGGTGAGAGTTGGAAACCTTGCCTCAGAGGATTTCCCACAAGAGAGGATGTCAAGGTCCTGAAAACTCAGCACACAGCCTTCCACCCCACTAGTATGAGCCAAAGCAGCTTGGCTCTGAAGCCAAGGAGCTACCCATTCCAAACTCTCCTTAGAGTTTAAAAAGTGCTGGCAACCAGGGAGAGGCAAGAGTAGGGTGGTCTTCTAACCCCTCAGTCTGCTCAGCACAGGCTCTGAAGTGGGCTAAGACATCTGTCTTCAGCTGGCTGATGATAGTGCCCACCCTCCCTGGTCTCCTTTCCCAGCTACTTCACACCACAGTTAGCATGAAGCCCAGCTCTGATCATGGAGAGGACAGTGAACAAGAGATATACATAGAACACAGTGGAGCCTGGAGGAGGAAATCTTTATTCTGACTCCCCAGGGTCCCATGAGAGGGTCAAAGGAGACTTTGAAAAGACCATGACATTTCAATGGGGCTGAATGAATGGGAATTTTCCAGGTTGAGATGAATGCTCAGTGTAGCCAAGGGGATGCAATAAAGAAAGGCAAGGAGGCCTTCAAGTTCCTGATGTATTGAGGGAACATTGAGTGACTCAGTTTGGCTGGAGCAGAGACAAAAGGTACAGAGTAGGGTTAGGCAGGAGAAGACAGGCCAGCCAGGGAGGGAGGCAGGGACCAGGTTTGCATGGCCTGGATGCTCCTGAGGCATCTGCCTGTGTCCTGAGAGCATGATGTTCAGCTGGAAGCTGGCAACAATCTGATTTTTTGGTTAAGAAGCATATTGTAGAAGTGCACAGGCTGAATTACAAGGGATCAAGACTGGAGAACAGGGGAAGCTGCTAGGAGGCTATAACAAAGCCATAGCTTTGGGACTGAGGAAGAGGGACTGGGTTTGAAATTTATTTGAGGTTTGGATTTGGTAACTGGTGGTGGTGGTGCAGAAGTAGCTGAAAACTTCTAGCTCTTTAATGTTGCTGAACTCCTCAAAAGCCTCAAACGGCTCCTCTCTGACCCCCTCCCCCAAGTAAAGTCTACAGTCGGCTGTCCTCAGTTTATGATCCTGGCCAGACTTGTCCCCACTCTGATGCACACGTTGCAGCCAAATCAACCCATTCCTCGTTCCCAAAGTAGGTCCCGGGATTTCTGACCCAGCACCAATGCCTTTTGTTTTGATGTCCACATGTATAAATCCTTCCTCATCTCAAATGTTCTCTGTGCTGTCACTATTGCCGTTGTAATTACAGGCCCACCTCCTTAGTATATACTCTGTCTTGTTTGATTTTCATGAGAACCCTGTGAAAAAGTAGCCATTGTACAGATGGGGACAATGAGCTCAGAGGGCTCATTTTCCTGCCCAAGGTGACAGTGTAAGTGGGAGGAAACATTCTGCTGTAAATCTCTATACCATACTCTTTCTATTTGGCTGACTTGCCCTGTTTCTATCTCTTATCCTCACTCTCTTCCTGTGCCCACTCTCACCCCACATTGTCCCCTGTCTGGACCTCTATAAGACACTGCCTACTTTCCATCTTGCAGTCAGATTATCTGGGTGCTTCTCTGCCTGGCTTGGAAGCACTTGATCAGAATCAGGCTCGATCTGTCCTGGGCATGAGACATTATTCATAGGGGCTGGTCAAATACTGAGTGAGCCAATAGCCCTAGATGATGCAGAGGAGGATAGACTGGCTCTTAGGGCCCCAGCTCTCCCCATTCCAACCCACACCTCTCTAAACCACTGGGTCTCCTTCTCAGATTAAGAGTTGCAGAATTGGCGTAGCCTAAATCTTCTAGCACAGCTCACACACTGTCACTTTTCGGATGTGTTTCCTCACTGGACTGAATTAATTTTATACATAAAATACCTACTATTGATTTCTAATAATGGCCTTCTAACAATGTGTCAGATATTTTCTCCACTTTTTTCAGAGTTTATACTAAGCCTAGAAAGTAGAGATTTTGAAGTTTTTTGCTTTTGTAAATGAAGAAGGTTACACATACTGCCTAAGGTTGCATATTAATAAACTACTAGAGGGAGGAAGTTCAACTCCAAACAAAGCCCATGTCCTTCTGAATCTCTTCTGACACTGAATAGCCTTAAAAGCATGATCAAGGTATGTTTAAGTAAAGAATGAAAATAAGAATGAGAATGCTGGAGAAAATCACCTGTGGTTCACAATTGGCATTTCAGATGGAAAGAAAAAAAGAACCTGGTAGAGCTGGAGAACCCTCTTGAGGGCCAGCCCCTCAAAGATAGATCACTGCGGAATGGGGGAGCGTGTCATAGTCAAGGCCTGTCTGTCTCCTAACCTCTGTTTGCTGGTGTCCAGGTCCGCTTCGTGAACAACACATGGGTGTTTGGGAAAGGCATGTGCCACATCAGCCGCTTCGCCCAGTACTGCTCCCTGCATGTCTCGGCACTGACGCTGACTGCCATCGCTGTGGACCGCCACCAGGTGAAGACAGCTGCACCCAACACTCTCTTTTCCTGCTCTGGAAACACTCTCCATATGGTGTCTTAGCCCAGTTTTTAATAAGTGGATTTGTGTTCTTATTGATCAGCATAAGCATGTAGATGAGGGATATCAAACCCTTTATCCTTCTTGTTGTAAAAAGTTATTTCCAATTGGTAGTTCTAATAACTTGCTGATGGCATTTTTCTGCCTCAGAAGTTGACAATTTTTTTTTTTTTTTGAGAAACAAACCTGGAAAAATCACAGATGAAAAGCACAGGAAAGAATTGTAGGTCAGAGATAAGGCTTTTGAGTATTTACTGTTCCAGACTTTTGAGAAGAAAAACAAATAGGATATCCAGATGGCAGGAACAAGCATCATGGTGGCACTGAGGTGAGGACATCAGAAGCATGTGGGTGGATATATTGGTGGGTATCCAAAGAGGACCCAAGTGTGGCCATCATGGAAGAGCATGGCTTCATGCCATGTGCTGCACCCGTGCTAACTCGATGTACCTGTATTTTATGCTTAGAGTATGCTAAATCGAGGAGAAGAGGCTCAGAAAAGTGCATGCATAGCTTTCTCAAGATCACATGACTGTGAGTGATGAAGCTAGAATTAGGGCTGAGGACTGTCTGGCTCTGAGCTCATGCAGTGATCACTAGACTACCCTGCTCTAAAAAGACTCAAAGGAACTTACAAGGCCAATATCATCAGGGCTACCAGGACAAAATGAGATGGGATTTGTCCTGAGTAAGCACCAAGAGGTACAACAGGGACCAAGAGATAGGGGTCTTCAAAGATGCAGATGCAAAGTTAGAGTTCAGTGTGAAAAACAATTTCCGAATAGAAAGGTCCAAAGATGCAAAGCTATCTGGGAGCTAGCAAATTTCATGTCACTAGCTGTAGCTAAGTGAAGTTTGGATGGCAACTTGATAGGAATATCTTCCAAAGGATTCATGCATATGATAAGCTATTGGACTTGATAATCTTTCTGATCTCTTTAGCTCCAAAATGCTTTTATTTTCTAAAAATCAACTCTTCGTATGTATTGTAGATACTTTAGAGCAAAGCATGAAGATTTGAATACAAATGTTTCTTGCTTTTTTCTTAATCTCTGCTAATTCAGTAAGAGCTCTGAGTTGGTTTTACCTGGCCTGCTTTGAACTCTTTCTAACACAGAGAGTACCTGAGAGTAGACCCATGGGCTAACATAGGGTCTGAGGATCAATCTTATTCACGCTGATCATGTTGCTGTGTTGTATACTCAGAACCAGTGGAGTCCCTGAGCAGTGTTTGGGGGCTCTGGCCCAGACTAGCCTGAGTGCAGGAATAGGAAGAACAGGGATGCCACCCTGATGCCTCCACACATCCTCCATAAAACTGTGAAAATTTTGGGAAGGAAAAAAAGTCCCTGAGAACACATCCAGAGTGTCAACATGTTTTGGAATGGTATCCGAGGCAACAGAATCTCTGTGTGACCCCTCTCCTCACTCCTTGTATTCACCTATCCCCAAATGTTGTTGTTGTTTTTGTTAAGGAGCAATAACTCTCATATTACAGCTAGGATGCTTTAAAATTCCCAAGTCTTTATTTAAACCTTTCGAAGGAACTGATTGACCTACAGTAGCAATTCCAAGATGAATTTCAGCCTGAAGCCTGTAACATTGGCTTTATTATAGGCACGTGAAAGCTGGGCCCTATGCAAATTTAGCAACAGATTTCAGAAAAAGTATTATAAGCTCCCAAATAAATGTCAGTGTTGCTTTCCACAATAGGTGCTGAGAGTTTGCGTTTCGTGTCCACCAGCCTCAGACCCTTGCAGAGTCCTTCAGAGGCTCAGGGCTATAGAGTCACAGGAAGATGAGATGTGGAGGAGGTGGAGGCTGAGCATGGGCTTGTCCTCTGCCAGCTTTTCTGTGGGAACCACGCAAGCAGAGCTCTTCCCCAGTCCCTCCCACTGCAGCATGAAGCATGTGGATAGCCAAGGGTCTCTGAATCCAGATGACGTCCTCTTTTTTTAACCCTGGAGGTGGGCTGTGTGTAGGTCATACCAGCACCGGGGGCTCAACAATGAACAAAAGGATCTTAACTTTATGAACAGAACCTGCCTTATGTGACAAATGAGCTGTGTCATCTGGATTCCTACTTGCTTCAGTCTTCTTCAATTAGTGATACAATTTTCTTGTTTTCCAGGTCATTATGCATCCGTTAAAGCCTCGGATCTCAATCACAAAGGGTATCATCTACATTGCTGTGATTTGGATCATGGCTACCTTCTTTTCACTCCCACATGCAATCTGCCAGAAATTGTTTGCCTTCCTATACAGGTAAGAGGAATTTGGAAGAGCAGCCTGGGACTCAAGGGAACTTGCCCATCTCTGCCTCCTCCCAGGACAGTTGGAGTCCCCTCTGAACACATGATTCTCGGAGTTCTGAGTACCTGCCTCACTGAAGCTATGCTCCTTCCTTCTCCCAGTCTCTTGAGCCTTAGCCCAGGCTCATTATCTGCATTTTTCTTTTTTCTTAACAATTTTAGTTTCCTCCTTGTTCTTTCGTTTGTCTCTATGGACAAGGTGGCTTCTGCCACCAGGGGGCAAATGCTCACACAGATGGTGGTGGGAATCAACATGAGTAAGGTTTAAACTCTCACCTGAGGTAGAAATGAGATCGTATGTTTGTGCTAGAGGAAGGATTATCTACCTCTTCCTACCTCTCATCCAGATTTATCATGAGCTCTCACCAAGTGAGGATTTCTTTCATTTAAACACTTTTTAAAAAGTTAAGCTAGTTCATTAATTCCTAAATCCTTCTAGACTGTAAGTTTAGAAAGAGTTGGCAGCATTTTGAATTTGCTACCTCAGCGATTCCAGCACCTGGATTAATTTCTCTGTGTATCAAGCCCTAAATCTGCATTTATAGAATGACAGAAGCAAGTGATTTTAAACATTTTACAGTTGTTTTAGGTGAGGTTCTTTAAAAACCAATCCTAAGATAATGACAGCTACACATGGAAGTTGTCTATTAAGACTACTATTCCGGGGGTGATGGGTGAGGGGGTGGAGAAGCAGGGAAGAAAGGGAAGGGGCAGAGACCACCCAGGGTTCAATTTCAAGGGTATCACAGGGGCTCTGAAGCAATCTGATCAGCAGAGGATCTGGGCTTTCACATTCCTTGTTATTTAATCATCTGCCCTTGGCATTCCTGAGCACTTCCAGCTCTAGGTAAATCTGTGGGAAGGGTTGTAGTGGCCTAAGGATAGTTCTAGGAACCTAGAAGATTACAGGTCCAGCTGCTTCTTGCTATGTGGGCAGGAGTTGGGATTTGGTGCTGTGACTGGTAAGGGATAACTGGGGATTGAGGGCAGTGCACTGCCAGCATTTGCTGTGGTCTCCATTTGCTGTGCTCCAGCACACACGCTCAAGACACTCGTGCTCCTGTGACAAAAGCAGGGTCAAGGGAAGCAGGCTGTAAAGGCTGATTTCAACTAGCTTATAAAAGCTTCTTCCACGAATCTTATGATGTTGGAATAAATCACACATTCAGACCTCCAACATTCAGTTTCCCTACCTCCCTTTACACATGGAAACCTTTTTTTTTTTTTTCCTAACAAAAGCAAAGGGAGTTTTCTCTTCATTTGTTAGTGATGGTTACCAACACATATCACAAGAGCACCAAGCCACATGGACATCCCTAACCAGCATGAAGACTGCCAAGGTACATCCTATATGAACTAGATCCTTGTTAACGAGGGGATGAGAATAGGAAGTGAGTACCATAGGAAATTCTAAGATTTCCTAAGGTTGACTCTATTCAGAGTAGGAATTTTACTATTGTTGTATTCGTTCAACAATTACCTATTGGATCTCTACTGTGGGCAGGAACCACGCAAGGGTAAGAGAATACAGAAAGGTTCAGATGTCTTCCTTATCTTTAGGAACTCCTAGACTTGTGGGAAATGAGAAACATGATTGTATTATTAAGCTACTGCATCAAAAGTGCAGTAAGAGACAGACGTGCCTGGAGCCAAGAGAGGGAAAGGCCACCGCTTCTTAGGATGAAGCTTTTACACATGCATATCTCTTCCCTGTCCTACTTTTTCTCTCTCCCTCCTCCCTCTCTCAGTGAGAACGTCACGCATTACTTGTGCCTGCCAGACTTCCCCGAGCCAGCTGACCTCTTTCAGAAGTACTTGGACCTGGCCACCTTCATCCTGCTTTATATCCTCCCTCTCCTCATCATCTCTGTGGCCTATGCCCGTGTGGCCAAGAAGCTGTGGCTGTGCAACACGATTGGAGATGTGACCACCGACCAGTACCTTGCCCTGCGGCGCAAGAAGAAGAAAACCATTAAGATGCTGATGCTGGTGGTGGTCCTCTATGCCCTGTGCTGGTTCCCTCTCAACTGCTATGTCCTCCTCCTGTCCAGCAATGTCATCCACAGTAACAATGCCCTCTACTTTGCCTTCCACTGGTTTGCTATGAGTAGCACCTGTTACAACCCTTTTATCTACTGCTGGCTGAATGAGAACTTCAGGATTGAGCTGAAGGCATTACTGAGCATGTGCCAAAGGCCACTGAAGCCTCAGGAGGACAGGCCACTCTCCCCAGTCCCCACCTTCAGAGTGGCTTGGACAGAAGAGAGCAATGGTCAGAGGGCTCTGCCAGCCAATAACCTCTTGTCTTCCTCTCAACTCCAGTTTGGGAAGACAGACCTATTATCTGTGGAGCCCATTGTGGCAATGAGTTAGAGGAGGCTGAGAAGGGGCAGCAGGAAGAATCTGTCTCCAGCTGAGACTGGAAAATAACCTGTCCTCTAACATAGGATCTGTACAATGCTTTAAACAAGTCCCTGCAGAAGAGCAGTAGGACTCTTGATTTCCAGAGGAAATTCCCAGCCTCCCAGCTCCATTTGATGTGAAAGCTAAAACACAAATATCACCTTGGCTTCTGTTTATAAATTCCTACTTGGGAGATGCTGTGAGCTATTGCATCCTGCATCCTCGAGCAAGAGAACCAAGGGCAACCCCCACTCCATTGGGGGTAGAATCAGTCAACTGCCTCCATCTGCTGGGCAGCTGTCTTCCACCCTTCCTTCTGCTGACTGAGCATTCACAGAGGAAGCTTGAGTCACACTTTGAGTGTGGCTGACCCAAAAGCACAGTACTTTGCTGAGAACAGGTTCACTGGTCAGTGAGATGTTAGCAAGCCAGAGTGGACACAGAGGTTTTCCTGCCTTGCCTTCCAGAGTGGTTGGAACTAAGATGAGTCACTAGTCCAATGGTCTGGCCCTACATATAACATGAAAGAACCAATTTAATCTCCTTATGCTATTATTACCACTTTTAAACATGCAGAAAAACAAAAAGAACAGAATTAAAATTGCCCCCCTTATCTCATTGATTTGTGATAACTCCTGTTAACATGCTATGGATTTCTTTGCAGATTTTTCCTTTCTTTGTGTGTGTGTACTTTTTTTTTTAGTTCTAAACCTGTTAAATTGTAATGATCAGCTAGAAACATAGGCATAGCTGAGTAATTCTGAACCTTTCTCCAAGGAACGGTGTCCACCACAAGCATTAGGGAAGAGGTGAGGGAAGAACCCAAGATGAAGACTGTCACAAAGCAGACAGAACCTGTCAATGATGAGCAGGGCCTGGCTGAAGTCCCTGCTCTCATTTGAGGCCATCATGATGAGCCAGGGAACAAGACTCAGCCACAGGGTATAAGTCCTCTTTTCCCTGCAATTACACAAAAACAAGAGTGGGTGGAACATTGTTCTCGTTTCACAGGAGATGAGAAAGCAGGTTTTACAATGGTTGGAAAAAATTGGGCTTAGGTACCACATCCACCCAAGCTGTCTAGATAGGCCACTTCCCCATGTTGTTTTAATAATGAGATTTTTTTTTCACACCAGTTCCCCAAACACCAATTCACTATCAACATCACCTTAGCAATTCATGTGTCACTTCCAAAATCTATGGGATCCTTAAAGAAAAATTTTTTTCTTAAGGGCCCACTTGCCAGAGAAATCTCATTCCAGAGACTGAATGTTTTCATCACTTTTCATCTGGTCCTGAGTGACTCACGGTGTCACCCAGAGAGAGAGATGGATATGTCAGGCAGAGTGGAGCCTAATTCCCCAGCCTAGAGCAATTGCTATTACCTTGTGTAAGACCCAAAGTCTCACTCCCATTCCACGGAGCATGAACAGCCAAAAAGGCCTTCACAATGCTGGGTCCTAAAACCCAGCGAGGCTCCCAGAGCTCGACAAGCAGCGAGAAACCCAGGAAAGAACACACCAGGTTAGATGGTAAACAGACCTTTATTAGTTGGGCCAGAAGGTACTCTCAGAACCAAGTAGCTCAGACAGGCAACTGCTCAGGGACTGAGGTAGTTTTATAGGGTTTTTCTAAACAAAAAAGTTCAAACATAGGTCAGGGCATTCACCAGAGGGCAAGATTCGAAATATACTGCTTATCTTATGCAGGAAATGTTCTATGGTCACCTTTTGTGATACCGTTTGTCCCCTGGGCGGGCTGTTAACCAAGTTAGCAATTAGCATGTGAAGAAGCACAGTCTCTGGCCTATTAGCATGGAGTCACTTTAGCTCATTCAAGTCTCACACTTGTTGGGCTGTTTTCCTTTTCACTCTAAGGAGATCAGGAAAGCAAAGCATGCATTTGTAGCTGAGTAGGAAACCGAGGTTTGGGGGAGATAGAGTTTGTACAGTATTTACTTAGCTTTCTTGGCTGCTATTGAAACAGAATTGGTTACATTGTCTGCTTCTCTTTAATAAACAATAGGAGCTCCTTATACTAGTCTGTTAGAGGCTATTAGAAAATTTTCAAGATAGAAAAAATTTTAAATTACCCACTGAACTGTGAATTGAAAAAAATTACTTCTGTGGGTCAGAGAGCATCTTCTCAGTCCAAAGGGCTTTCCCAAAGGGGTTTTTCAGGCCAAATGGCTCATGTGCCTAACCTTGTTGTCTTTGTGATGTCAAGAAATAGCTATTATTTTTATCTTAATGCTGCCATAGAAACTCTATAAACCAGAATGAGAACAAGTAGCAGGGATGCTGAAAATTGTCCTGTCCTGGGACTTATAGGGAAAGCTTCCTTCTCTCTGCTAAGAGGGAGTCTGTGAATACTGCAAACTCACAGTGGAAACTCTCAGGTTTGGGTCTCCAGCTGGTGCCTGTCTGCCACCTTTCCCGTGTTCCCTATGTAATTCAGAGCAAAAATGACTTGTAATTGTGAATGTGACACCTGTAAAACTTAAGTTTTTTCAATGTGCTGTAAAGAATACATTGTTAAAGAATGCGTTGTTGTCAGTTGTTCTAGTCTCAATAAAAGATCCTTTTGATGTGTGGGCTGTGCCTGTTGGACTGTGGCTATCACCATTTGATACTTTCAACAGGGAATGGTATGGAGTACTTGAAGGGAGCATGGGGATTATCTACCGGTAGCCTGGAATTTTAGATGAAGAGACTTAAGCATTAAAAGGTAAATAATCAATTGAGAAACCTCAGATTCCTTACCCAGAGGCTTACCCCCGCAATTTGCTGCCAAGTCCCCTCTTTTGTGATGATAAATCTGTGCTGCATGTTTGAACCCTGAGCTCCATCTGCTCCTTTGTAACTCAGGAAGAAGTAAAGCTGCCGCTTGAGTTTGGAGAGCCATTGTTCACTTGCAGTGTGCAGTGGTCACTGAAAGGGGGGTTCGCGTGCCCTTTTGGGTGCCCCTTCCCAATTAGGCCACTCACGCAACCGAGAGGTCTGGCAGGAGATCTTTATTGTAGGGAGGCGAGCAGGAGGCAGGAAGGCAGAGAGAGAGAGAGAGAGAGAGAGAGAGAGAGAGAGAGAGAGAGAGGAAGAAGCAGAAGGAGAGAGAAGAACTAAGAAAGGAAGGCCCTTTTATCAGTTTTGGGGTGGGCTATTGCTTATTTATGAGGAGTGAGCTACTTTTAACCTATCGCAGGCCAGATTGCTTTTATGGGCCCAGTCCTGTAGACACAGGTTTCAACTTTCCTGGACCACTGTGGCCTTGCGGGGGAGGGAAACCAGAGATAAGGGCATGAGGTCATTTTAGGAGCCAAGATGTACCAGGAGAATGCAGCCTGTGAGGCGGCGTCACAGCATACTTTAACATGATCAATTCCCTAACAGTCACCACCTTCCCTGTGTTTTCCATGATTTCTGCTATACCAGGCCTGAGGTTCCAGCAGGTAAGCTGGGTGAGAGTCTTCACTGCATACACAATTACCCTGATGCCATCTAGAGCATCTGTTAAATCAGTTTTAAACACTTTCACAAGCAGTTGTAAATAGGAGTGATTTGCTGAGCCTGAAGGAAAATTTGAAAGAAAAATGAAAGGCAAATGAGATGAAAAGAACAAGATCTGTTGGCACTTTCTGTGTGCAGTTCTGTGCTAAATGCTTCTCAGCTCATCTCATTCACCCTCCCAGAAGTCCTCCAAGGGTGGGCACTGTTGTTTCTGCTTTTTAGATGAGGAAACTGAGGCTCAGCAAACTTAGATGATATGCTAAAAATCATAATTTAAATATTACCCTCCTACAGATTAGATTCTGAGAGTGTGCAGAAAGGAATCTTACTATTAAAAAATCCAGTCTTCTCCAAATTTTTTTGATGGTGAGACTTTTTTTTAATAAAATCTTTTATCTTCTTAAAATCCAGTGGTGCTTGAATTACATATTTTGGGAAATGCTTGACTACCTGAGTCCCAAAGGGCCTTGCAGTTCAGTGATCGATGAATCCATGGTTCTAGTTCAGGCAGAATTGTGTGGCTGCCTTCTGAGCTCAGTTCTTGTTAGAGCTGTCTTCCAACAAGATACTCAGTTATTCTCATGTCGGTGATTCCTACTTGATCTACCATGGTAGGTAACCAAGGCAAATAACCATCCTACACTTGGCTGGGATCTCAAGATCCTGAGGTAGGAAAGACACAAATCAGCTAACCCCTCATTGCTCCCAAACTTATTGTGACAAAACACTAGAGCTTCCATGGTGATGAGAGCTCTGCAGGGCATCTGGGACCAGGGAGGGATTTGAGAAGACTGGTGGGCTTGAAGCATCCACGGGCAAACAAACTTTTCTTAAGTGTAGTCCGAAGAGGGTAGTCATATGCTGGCAGCTTTCTGCTGCTGTGAAGGCTGGTCATTAACATCTTGCTTCAGCATCTCTGTGTACTCATTCCCTGCCAATTTTATTTCATTTCAAGGGACAGTTAGGTGGGTGGGGGATTTAGTTCAGTGGTTCTGCCACCTGCCTTGCCAGTACAATCTCTGGTACCAAAATAAACAAACAAACAAACAAATAAAATAAAATAAAAATCAAGGGACAGTGAGTGAAGAAAAAATAAGTAAATACATGCAATGCTAAATAAATTTGGAAAAACAAAACAAAACAGCAATATTTAATGTCAGAAAGCCCTGGGCCCAGCCCTCTCCATCTTGAGGTTATCAAAAGCTGTGTTGCAGAGAACAAGCTCATGGTTGCTTTATGGGAACAAAGTGCATGAGTTTAACAGCTTCTCCTCTACTCATGTTTCTAGTATATCAGGGATCCTGTCTTCAGATTGGTCACAAATTTAAGATGCTCAGCTTAAATATGAGGGAAGGATGTAAGGCCTAAAGTCTCAATTTCACTCCATGGAGCGTGAACAGCCGAAAAGGCCTCCTTGATGCTGGGTCCTAAAACCCAGTGAAGCTCCAGGAGCTCAGAGAAACGAGAAACCCAGGAAGGTACACATTACGCTAGATGGTAAATAGAACTTTATTAGTCTGGCCAGACAGAACTCCCAGAGCCAGGTAGCTCAGAGAGGCAACCACTCTGGGGCTGAGGTCCTTTTTATAGGGTTTTTCTAAACAAAAAGTTTAAACATAGGTCAGGGCATTCACAGAACTACCAGAGGACAAAGACTTCAAACACATTGCTTATCTTATGCAGGAAATGTTCTACGGTCGCCTTTTGTCATACCATTTGCCCATGAGTGGGCTGTTAACCAAGTTATCAATTAGCATATGAAGAAGAACAGTCTGGCCTATTAGCATGGAGTCACTTTAGCTTATTCAAGTCTTAGGAGGAAAGGAGGCATGAACGTGGGATGTAGTATATTATCACAGGAAGGGGAGAAGGTGCACAGGTTGATGTGAGATTCGGTGGGGACCACGGAGTTAGGTATAATTGTCCAAGTTTGAGCTTTTGGTTTGGACAGTGAGATCTTGGGTACATATTACATGTAACTAATCATCCAGATAACTAAAAGAATTTCATACACAGACTAACATTATGAGTGCCATAAACCAAGGATTATAATTAAGCCCCTGTTATATTCCTGTCATCTATAAACAAATCTAAACAATAAACCAATGGAAATGGAGATCTAAAGATCCAAGTCTTCACTTTTCTTCCCTGCCCCTTCCGGTCAAGTCACGCTTGCATCTGTATTCTTAAAACATGCAAAAAGGTTCACTGTCAGGACCACCAGGCTATGACAATTACTTGTCCTTTTCAAAGCAACCTTGTTTTTCTGGAGTAAAAACTTGCCTGTTTGTTTCTTGGCTTAATTTTCCATGTCACCATCTCTAATTTTTCCTCAGTTTTTGAAATCATGGCACATCCATCGTGTGTTCTGCCACCCGCTGTGTGCACCCCCACAAGACTCCTGAGCTTTCTGTGTGGCTCTGCTTTGGGCTGGTTGCTCCACTTGTAAATGCCCATTCTCCTAGGACTTTTCTGCCACCCTTTCCAATGTTAGAGTTAGGTCAATTTTCTAGAACTCTGTCTTCTTCATTTTTGACTTACTCTCTTACTTTGGAAGATCACATCTTTCAGTGGTTTCCCAAGAAAAGGCACAAAAGAACACATTGCTTTGGAGACTTTAACTATCTGAAATGTGTTTAATTGAAGCTCTTAATCAGTAGTTTGTCTGAATATAGGACAATGGGTTGAAAATGTTTCCCTCAAAATTTTGAAGACATCTGTAGTAGCTTCATGTGACTGCCATGACAAATTAACAGTCAAAAATTGCTTAACAGTTCTATAGGTGATCAGAAGTCTCACACAGAAGGGTTGTGTTCCTTTCCATCGGCTCTGGGTAGGATGTGTTTCCTGACCTTTACAGCTTCTACAGGCCATCCACATTCCTTGGCTGTTACTTTCCTTCCTTTATCTTTAAAACTAGCAGCAGTGCAGCTGAGCTTCTTCCTTAGTAACATTTTCCTCTATTTTCTTTTGCCCCCCACCCTCCTTACTTTTTAGGACTTTTGTGATTGCACCAAGCCCACTGGGACAATACAATGTTATATCTCTGTTTGAAAGTCAGATGATTAAGCTGATTAACCTTAAATCCATCTACAAACTTAATTCTCCTTTGTTTGGGCATATTCGCAGGTTCTAGTGATTGAAATGTGACTATCTTTGGGAGGACTATCATTCTTCCTACCAGAAGTGCTCAATTGACTTCTGCTGAGAGACTGGATTCTCTTCCGAGTTGCAGTCTAATTAATGTGACT